GGGGAATTCTGGGAGTTGAAGTCCACCCATCTGAAAGCTGCCAAGGTTGAGAAACCCTGATCTAAGCTTATCCTGTCATGCAAATGAATCTGTTGCCTTTAACAAACTGAGCATCCTGTATGAACATACACAACAGGTAAGAACGATGGTGATTCCAGCCTTAAAAACTAACAAGGTTATGGTGAGAGAATGCCTTTTAGAGGCTGGCTCTGAAATGGAACAGAAGATAAGCCCCGCTTAGGAGTCGCAGAGAATCCTGCATCCTGCCAAGACGAACAGTAACAAGTCCTGTGGGTCTGGAGCATGGCATCTTAAGAAGGTTGGCCCACTCCTAAGGAAGTCACAATCTAACCTTTACGCTATGGTAATGTCCAAGCTGGGGACCGCTGGAGCTGGGCAGATGAGCCTGCAGTACCCCATACCGGCCACTAGTCTGCGCCCTGAACAAAGGTGAGTTGCAGGACCTGGTGTTACCTGCAGAGGGAGACAGGGCTCACCCCGGCTCCTATTTACTTCCTGCTGCTGCCAAGTGAATCCCTTAACTTCCAATTTGTTGGGTGGCAGCTCCTATAATTCCCATGCTGGCTGGGGATTAAGAGATCTGTAGTCAAACACAATAAGATGGTGCCAACGAAGGCCATTGCGATAGACTGCTGCCCCTAGATGGATACGGAAGGCCCCTCGACTGCACTGCTACCTCTTTACCTTCAGGGGGCGCCACTCCCAATGGATCCCACCTCTAAGTGAGGATTCCTGATTTTAACACCTCCCCTGCTAGAGTTCTAGGCCTCTCCCCCTTTCCTACGCGATAAAACCCCAGCCTTAAATTTGCTTTGTTTCCATAGCCCACCCAGATGGACAAAATCTGGGACTTCTTGATGCAGTTCCTTAGCTGACTTAAGTACTTGGAAACTTTTAGATGGATTTTTAGGAGGGAAATCAAATTCAGCCACAGCCCCCTCCCCATCCGAGCGCATAAATTAAAAACCAACTCTAGACAGGAGAGTTTGCCAAAGAATACAGTCCCCCCAATGCTTTTCGATTCTGTTTTGACCTCCCAGCAACCCCATCCAAAATCTGGGGGTACGGAAATGAGGACAGGACAGGGTCAAGGTGGGCCAGGAAGTTACTTGGCCACTGCAAATCAAAACCACCACCTCCAACCCCCTGAACGGAGGCCCTTTTCCTTGGCAGACCTGTTGATTCTGTTTATTTATGAGATTAAATAATTACTGCATAGTGTGTGTGTGTGTGTGTGTGTGTGTGTGCGCGCGCAGTAATTATTTAATTACTGGTGCCATCAAGAAGCAGGGCTTGTAGAGATGGACGACAGGCAGGTAACAGGTCTCTCTAAGGTTTTCACTCCTCCCTTCCTTTCCAGCTGACTTCTAATTTCTGGGTATTCTTGACTTGATCTGGGTCACGCAGCAGCTGTCCCAGACCTGGCGGCTGCTGGAGTGACTGTGACAGGACGCACCCAGGTACCCCTAAGGACATCTTTCCTCTCCTAATTTCTGCCTTCCCTATTCCGCCCCACGCGGCTCCGTTCCTGTCGGCCTTGCAGGGTAAACCAGATAGGAATTGCAACCAGATGAGCTAATTCTACTTTATTGTAAAGCTACATTGACAGAATCTTGCAAGTATGAAGATACAATCCTTCCCCACCTCTCCTTTACAGCCTGAGAAATTAGGGAGGGTCTCTTCTGAGCTTCTTGCCCCACCCACTATCCAGCTGAGGGCTAAGCTATCTCTTATCTGACCATTCCCTTGGCAGCGTCTCTTCACCCCGTCTCCCAAGGTCTTTCCAGCATACCATTACCTTCCCCAGGAGATTCTGGCTGACAGAGTGCCCTTCTCTAGCACAAAGTGCGCTCCCCCCCAAGCTCATCCCTCCCACAGTGAAGACAGGATTTCCCAGCCCCACAGCTCAGTTCCTCCCCCACCAGCCACCAGTTGCAGCATCTGCCCCAGTAGACAACTTACGCTGTCCAACTTTCAGCACAACTTTCATGCCTTTGGAAAGACAGGCACCACCTTTCATGTTCTCAAGCCCTTCCTTGGTACCGTCTGAGGTTGCTGTGGGAGAAACAAAAGCTTGAGATTAACACCCGTCCTGGGTTAGGCTACTGCAACAGACTGTACGTGGGACCGGCCCTGAAGACTGTCTGGGAACCTCAGCTGCTTTGGAATCTGTAGGACTTTGGGACAAGAAACAGGAACCCGGTTCAGCGGTTTTTAACACCTCTCCACCGGGTACGAGACAGAGCAGAAGCCTGCATGGCTTGGCGTGACGGACCTGGAGGAAACCTTAACTTAACCTTCGTTGCATTCTCAAAATGAGACCCAGGCAATGAGTTGAAGGATCACCACGGAAGGAATTTGGACAAGATGGCTGCTTTTACAGAGTCTCACACGGGGCTGGTTTTGCCCATTCCTGGCCCAAGGCAGAGATGAAAAAAAGAGAAGTTTTCAACTGAAAAAAAGTGCCGTGGCTTCAGAAGTGCTGGTTTCATCTACTATTTAATTTTTCAGTTTTGCCCCAAACCTGCAAGCTCTGACATCCAGTTTTGCTGTGGGCCCTGAGAGTACCCTTGACGTATTTTAAACAAATAAAATCAGACGGGTGAGTTGCATAGGAAGATGATTGCAAAGCGCCCTGTGTGGAACAAGAGGGGAAGGAAAGGGCAGGATCCGGGTCTGCAGGGAAGGGTCGGAAAAGTCAAGATGGTGGCCATGTCATAAAATATGGGCGGAGCTTCAGTCTCACCATCACGGCTGTCCTCTTGACCATACCCTGCGGACAGTCCTGGGGAGGACAGAGGAAGGGACTCCAAGAAAAAGCCAACATTCCCTCCCTTGCCCGGACGGGAAACCGGGCCTGTGGCCTCGTGGGGGATGAGTACGGAGGGCCCAACCCGGCAGATCCACCTGCCCAGCAACTCAGATGCCCGTCCATCCACCCGCCTGCATTCTCGCAGCCCCACCCTATGGCTGCAGGGCCATTTAATATTTAAACATGATGTTTAATGTTTGCCCAGACAAGGATCCCCTCATGATCTGTTAATGAGCCACTGCAATCCTGAGGCATTTTAATGCAGCTGCTCTTCCAAGGCTGGCTGGAACCGTGGGTGCCAAACAGGCAGGCAGGCAGGCTGTCCTGACACGCCCCGTGCCAACGCCAACCCCATCCTGGCTCGGAAGCCGTCTCCCTGGCAGCCAGAGCCGTGCAGGGGCATCTAAGGCGATGCCAGGATGGCGCAGGGGATGCCTTGGGCGGCAGGGCTGACTCGGGATGCAAGGAACGAGGAAGGGGAACGTGCTGGCTGGCACCTCTGCCAACATGCCACGGACTCAGACCTGTCCAATCGCAGCCGGGCAGACAAATGGCGGGAGCATCCTCTTGATCTCTGTCCAACTCGCCTCTCATTTGCAAAAACGGGGTGCTCATGCAGGCCAAGGTTGCCCTACCAAGGAGGAAACCTGAGGAGGCCTGCTGCTCGTGAAAGCAGGAGGAGGGAAAAGGAGATTTTCGCCATTTGATTTGTAATCAAGTCGTGATTACATTAAACCATGTTGCTAGGGCTGAGCCTTCCCTCTTCCCGTCGCTTTCCGTAGCTCTCTGCAGAGGGAAGAACCAAGGCCATTTAAAACACTGCCTCAAAGGTGTCGGGGGGAGTCTTATCCCACCCCACCCCCCAGCCTCCATACGTGAACTGGCTTAATCCAAAACACAACATAGGTTGAAGGGGGGGGGAGATGGCACCACAATTCTGTGCAGCTGGCACAAGCGAGCCACGTTTACCAGACAGGGTTCCCCAAATGGACACTCCCAGCTCCCAGAACTCCCATGGGAATTGGGGGACTCGCAGTCCCAACTCTACAGTTCTTCCATCCTAGGCTCCTGGTGATCTACCGCCTGCGGTTGGCAGACTGGCACCCGCAGCAGCAACCAAGCCAAGTCCTCCATGTCTCCCGCAAGGCTGACCCCAGCAATTAAGGCTATAATCAGCACCCGTTGCAAGAGACGCCATTGTGTTTTCCCACAATGCCTTCAGTTAGGGCAGGGCATTATGGGAAAGAAAGATACCGGCTAGGTCTGGGTGGGGTCCAAACTGAAATCTTTTCCTGGCACTGGTTGGGAGTCCAGGAAGGAGTGGAGGGCGTGCCAGGGAGGCATCAACCCCTTGGGCGGTGGCAAGGAGGGTGGGGTCACGGCCGACATTTTCAGAAACGACCGCTGCCAGCGCGCTTCAGGGTTTGGGGGCTTTTTAAGGGAAAGCCGGTGGAGGTGGGTGAGCCAAGCCCATCGGTGTTCGATGCCAGGCCAGCGGAGGGGGGGAACAGAGGAAAGTCTTGACACAACCAGGTACAGCTGAAGTTCTCCCCAGAATAATTGTCCGGGCACCAAATGAGGCCCCAGTCGTGGGGCTCCTCCTGCAGCTTTTCCTTTCCTTGCCCAACACTCCTGGGGTGTCGCTTCTTTATCTGACCCCCACCCCGAAGATGGATTAAAAATGAAAAACACTTTCTCTGGTATTCGTCAGCAGATGAAACGTCAAGGAGTTCAAAGGGTTCCTTTTGCAAAACAGAAGGCGCCGAGGCTCTCTGGAAGCCACACCCAGGGCGTTCGAGCAGAGGCAGTTTCGGAGGAAAATGCACTCTACGCATGGTCAAGGACACTCTCCTCCTGGAAATGGTACAATGATCTTCCCTATCCTTCCGAATATCTTCACACTCCCTCCTCCCAAACTTCTCTTGGAGGCCCTTGCTGACCATCATCGTAAGATGCAGCTGGTTTTTTGCCAGTTCTCCTTGCCTTCTCCATCCCTCCCTGCCCTAGATGGCCCACCCAGCTCCCCTGGGGACCCCCGCCCATTGCCAGCTTCCTCCTTTCCTTCCACTCAGCTGTCTTCCATTCTTCCCTCATGCTTGGCTGGGCATAAAATCATCTGAAAAAGGAAAAAAACTGGGTCAACAACGCCGCGCCATCACCAAAAAGACACCAGGCCAGCACCGAGGCGGCGGCGGCTGCTGGAGAGGTGCTCGCATCGGCTGCTTGGAGGGGGGTGACAGAAGGCATTTGGGGCAGGTTGAGACGGGCTGTCAGAGAAGCAGGTGACCTTGAATGCCCCCCTTCTTAAAAAGAGTTGAGGATCCTCCTCCGCGTCTAGGTTTCTCCCCCCGCCCGCCTAGCCCAGCAGAGATGCGGTGGCTGGGGAGCGGCGCCCGGAGAGGGCATCCAGAGCAGGCAGACCTCTCCCTTTCAACAGCATCTCCTTGCCCACGGGCACACAGGCGCAGAGAGAAACGAAGATGGAAGGCAAAGAAGGGAGGAGGGCACGTGTGCGGGTGGGCACACGTTGTGTCTGTGGGAGTGGGTCGCTGAGCATGTGGAGGAGCAAGAGCCGAAAGCCAGCCCCCACAATCCTTTGCAAGGAGACGGTCCATCCGCCCAGGCCCAACGCGGCGCCCCCCAACCCCACCCAGCCCGAGACCCCTCCCGTAATGAGAGCCACCCACCGCCAGCCGCGTCCCACAAACGGCAACCTGGGTGTGGGTGGGGGCTTTCCAGAACCAGGCACCGGGAAGGGAGGGGGAAGTGGAGAGACGTCCATGCAACGGCAGGGGAGCATGCTGGTGCGGGGGTGCATTTGGGCAGGAGTGTGCGGGTGTGTGTGTGTGTGTGTGTGAGTGCAAAATTGGCTGGTCACCACAACGCAGTGGCAGTGGCACAGCCAAGTCGCCCGCTCGTACAGATTTGCGGGGAGAGAGTTGCCATGGCAATGGCTGAAGGGCTACCCCAGGCAGCCAGGGATGATGTGACAGGGATGCTGGGTGGGCAGGCGGGGGGGGACAGGGAATGGGAGGGGGTCGGCAACAGCTTCCGTGGACTCGCCCACCCCTCTTTTGGAAAGGGGAGGCTTTCCCTGCCCTTGGCCTTCTGATCCGCAGGAAGATTCCCCCAGCCCCGTTTCAATGGAGGGGGGGCTCCAGGGTGCCCAGGTGTGAAAGCACAGCTGGATCTAGAGCAATGGCAACCAAAGGATGAAGTGGGGGAGTGCGGGAACCTCGCTTCTCCATCTGTATCTCGCCCCCCCGCCCCCCGCTTTCCTGAAGCCGGGTTTCCCAGATGCGCTGAGCCACAGCCACGCTGGCTGAAGTCTTGAAACCATGCCCAAGCCCCCCGGCCCCCTCATTCCTCCTCTGAAAGTGGCTCCCCCCCCCGCTCTCATTACTCCTGGCCCTTCCCTGTTCCTCTGAATCTGCCCCCAACCGTGTCCAGCATCTGCCCCAGAGGGCCGAGATGCCTTATCGAAACGAGAGCAAAACACTCAGGGCTCTCTCAAGCCAGGGCTTGCTGCTGTATCTGACCGCTCGGTGCCTTTGATGGAGGCCATTCCCTGGCGATCTTGGCTTCTCGAAAGCAACTGAAAAGACCGCTGGCGCTTGGATCTGGCAGGAGAGCCACGCTCCCGTCCACCCGGACGTGCCATCTGGCAGGGCCCAGGAAAAGGGCCTGTTTTGTCATGGCCCCTGCCTTCACTTGCCCCAACCCTGCTGGCCTTTCGCAAGACCTTGAAGACCTGGTTTTGTCATCAAGCTCGGGGCCTTGGAGGTGTGGGGAAGCTGTATGGTTATATTAATTGTGGCGATAGGCGGGTTCCCCCAGGACTGCTTTTTTCTGCTATTCATACTTTTGTGATATTGGTTTGATCCCATTTTTAAGCATTGTTAGCTGCCCAGAGTCATGTATTTTGAGAGAGGTGGCTGGATACTGGGGGGGCCCAGTTTAAGGACGAGTTCCGTTCCCAAGGTCTGTCCGTAAGTCGAATGTGTACGTAAGCCAGAACAACATGATCGTATAGCACTGTACAAATAGTATTGCGTAATGAACTCGAACCATTGCGGATGTAACTCAAACGTTGCTACAATAGGCTCCGTTCTTAACTATGAGTCGTCCTTAAACTGGGCGTTCTTAACTCAGAGACTACCTGTACATTGAATGAATGAATGAATAAATAAATACAGCAAAAAGGAGGCTTACTGATGATGTAATAGTCCTGGTTGGACTTGAACTCATGGCCCCAGAGGTTGGGACTGTACTCCTGGAATTTAATGGTGAAGCGCATGTCGTGTTCGGGGCGGTCACAGGTCAGCAGCAGGTTGGGGGCGCGCAGGATCTCGCAGCGCTCCGCCTGCTCGGTCTGCACGAGGTACAGCTTGTAGTATTCGTAGTCCTCGGTGGAGAAGGGGCCGAGAGGCACTGAGCGGGGGCAGATGAGGTCCAAGCGGTCGCCGATCTGGGGGTACAAGACGTAGCCCCCCTCGTTCTGGAACCTGCAGGAGGGAAGCAGCACATCAGCCCGACGGAGAGGCCCAACGCACCTGCACAGAAGCAACGCAGATCACCAACGCAGACGCATATGGGCCTTCCTTTTGCCTTTGATTGGACTGGATTTCCGCTTCGTGGAAATAAAGTCCTGGCGCTAAATCCCACCCGGGAACTACAAGGGGCCTGTTCCCATTGTACCAGGACAGCCGTGTAGGTCTACGGTGGCCAAAAAACCCGGCGTGGCCCGGGAGTGCTTTTTCCGACTAGCCAATTTCGTTAAAAGGCAGAAGCTAATAGCAAAATGGTTAGTCGGAAGAACTGCTCCCGGGCCTCGCCTGGTTTTTTATCCGTTCCCAGCGACATCCTTCTATTTACTCAGGAACCCTTCTGTTTCTCCAAACACGCACTTCGACAATGAGAAAATGGGATCCTGCAAGCAAAGAAAAACACACCTGGTTGTTTCAAAACTCTAACTGGCAATTTCTCTGCTTCCTCCGCAAGGCTCGGTTAGACCAGATTTCATTTTCCATTTCGGCTGGAGACGGGCAAATCGCCTTCTTGAAAGATGGGAACCCCATTTGGGGGAAGGTGTCACTTCCCCGTGAAGATACGGGCGGCGGTGCTCGCGTCAGGTTCTCCCTGGCCTCCTTAGAAAGGTGTGGCAGCTTTTCAGATGTAAAACCTTGCTCGACCTGTTCAGCTGAGGCACACTGGGGTGGTGGG